TGCTAAAAAACATCAACCTGCAATAAAACATGAAAGATATCTTTCTTTAAAGCACATTATCACAAAAAATGAGCATAAAATATAGGTCTAAAAATACATATATTTTTGTTGCATCAATCACTTAATACTTTAAATCCCTAAAGTCCCCAAATCACTCCCAATTTCCACCAAATTTGATTTAAACTCTTATTTTAAACTCACCCAATTTTAAATTCAAACTAAATATCATCTTATCCAAGCCCAATTTAAACCAAATTCAATCTGACTTACACCCAATTACAAACCCAAATTTTAAGTCCAAATTAATTACCCTAAATTGACCCTAAAGCCAAATTTCATCAAATTAAGCCACATAACCAATCCAATTCCACAAAATTTGTTTTCCAAACTTATCATGACATTTTTCAAGACCAATTCAAGCCTTCGATTGATGTAGATCCAAGCCAAAATCCAACTTTTAGCCTAAACCCAAAAATTGGTCTAAGACTTTGAATTAATCAAAAGCTTAATTACCATAGTCATGTCTTAAGCCCTAAGATGCTAATCACAATGCCTAGACAACCCTACTTGGTGCCATGGACCAATGGCCCCTCAAAATATGCAATCCCCCTCCTTAATTTGGCTAAGTCCCTTATCCATGCAATGAGTTGGCTTAGCTTCAAAGCTAATCACCATTAAAACTCCCCTTACCTCCCTGAGCCAGCTAGCCACCGCCCTTGGCCTGGTCGGCCGCCCTAGTGGCCGGAAAACTCAAAACCGAGAAGACCCTTCTTGGCTCAAGCACCAAGTTGCACCCATCCCATGTGGCAATTCCCAATTAGCTAATTGTGTTGTTATCTCCTCCACCTAAGCTTACTTGCACCGGCATATGACACATAAACTAATGAGTCATGTTCTTCATCGAGACAACTGGAGATGCACATGCAGATGCGAAGTGGTCTAGTGTGTCGTGATCCCTCCATCGAAGTAGGAGAGATTACAGAATAACAAATGTTTGTCATAAGTATATGGTGGCATATACCCATGATGAATGTGTCGCTAGTACAGAAATGCAAACGCAAAACTTGAGACATATGAAACACATGACATACTGAGGAGACGCCATGTGTGACATGAGTTGCACACTAAATGGATTCAGAGGCCTTTGAAGCATGATCCATACTAGGTGATAACCATGTAGCTAAGTGGACATACATCACATACTTGGAGGATTCAGAGGCCTTTTAGAGCAGGATTCGCCAAGTGATACCACGTGGCATACCTTTGGTATGTGTTAGTGATGTCATAGGAAAAGAGATGGTGTGCATGCAAGACACACAACGAAAGTGAGGTGATGTATTTTCTCGCTTTAGAAAAACAAGCGTCGAGTAGGCTTGATGTGCAAGCCATCTTTGAAAAGGACACATGGGCATCTGGAATGAGTTTGAAAGAGCAGTAACTCAAGGAAGATGCTTACGACGGTCTGAAGTGGTGTCATGGGATGTGACAGACTATGCGAATAGCAGTGCTCTAGAAAGACACATGAGTGTGTGTGTGTGAGGAGCAGTGACTCCAAAGTGTCAGAAGTGAGTGTGCAAGGGGCAGTGACTCATGAATGACACATGGATCTCAGAGCGAGTGCGTGAGGAGCAGTGACTCAAGAAGGTACCTATGGCAGAGCGGGGCAG